TTTTTCCTCCACAAATCTACATTATAAGTTAGTTTATTTGTTCAAATATTATTTTATGTTATGTAGTAGACCATAAAATAACTAAATTAAATGAGGGAATTTTAGAAAGAGATATAATTGAAAAATATAATATAACCATATCCGTTAAAAACGTGATGCTAACATTTCCAACGGGAGAAGAGATAACCTTCTAAGGGTTAGAGAATTTTCACAACAATGTTAGTAATCTTCATAGAATACAAAAAAAAATGATAGTTGATAGCAAGAGGGAGAGCTGCACCTTTGTTTGATGAAAACTCTATGCAATTAGACAATATTAGCGTGTACGATAATAATTGTAATAAAAGTAATAAGTATAAAAGGAAGAGGAAAGGAAGCCATGCACAGATAAATAAACAGTGAAGTAGTTTAGTAACATGGTCAAACCTTGCACTTTGGATACAGAAAGATATATTATCGCAGGAGTCTTAGTGAAAACACAACACCATTGAAAATAACAATTAGGATTATGATTCTTTTCACTCAACCAATAAAAATGTGAGGCCGTGGATTTTTACGGAGCTCTTAAAAATTCAAATTTTATATTAAGTGTAAAGATCTTTGGAAAAAGCCGAAGAATTTGAACTAGATCAGAGGTTACCGATCGTAATAAAAATTAGATGGAAAAGTTGACACTTAGGTGTGAAGAATGAACCGTGTTCGTCAACAAAAGTCAATCACGTGGCTGGTTTCCCACGCGAATGAGATAAAAGCTCAAATCCCGAAGCTCAGGGCAATCGGTTGGAAGTTATACTTGTTGATGTGTGCATCTCGTCTCCCGGACCTCTATATAACGGACTCGAACCGACGGAAAAAGAAGATACCGGTAGAAGACCATAGGAACTTCCATATAACACTTAATCGCGCCCACATAGAGCTGTTTTGGAAAGAATTATTTGAACCTGCGGACTCTCTCTCCCTAAGCGTATTTTTAGTTTAATCCATCGAGGAAGGAGTATAGTATGTTATCCGGCATTACTCCTAGTTGTATTTAACCGCATTTAACCTATATATTTTTATTGCCTATGTATCCTAGCTTGTTATACAAATACAGTAGAGCGTCGTTTATCCGAAGGTCGGTTATCCGAAACGTCGGTTATCCGAAGAAATTCCAGTCGACAAATTTAAATTTTGCTACTCAAATATTTTACGTTTTTGATACTAAATTAACTTCTAAAGTATAATTTTTTATTGTTTTTATATTTCTCAGTATATTTATTTTGTTTGTACAAAGTAAAGAAATAATTTTTAACGATACAATAGTCTTCGTTAGGCTTAACATCGACGAAAATTTTCAACGCAAAGCGACAAGCAACGGAGGAAAATTTCAACACGGGATAAATTAATATATTTTTTCGTACATAATTGGTTATCCGAAAAATAAGTTATCCGAACAACTCGAAAAATAAGTTATCCGAACCAGTCCCCAATTGATTCGGATAAACGACGCTCTACTGTAAATGCTCGTTTATTTTGTTAACTTGTCTCCTGTCATTTAAGGACAACTGCCAACTGACCGACGCACTCCCCACTCGATTTGCCCTCCTAGCCATCCAATCAACTCCGAGATCGGGTTTTTCCAACCTGTGCAGAGTAAGTGGTCATTTGGGGATTAACCCAGTGACCCACTGTTTATTTCACAAAAATAGTAAAAGTAGAATAAGCATCTTTTTTAAGGCAGAAAAAGAAACAAAGGAAATGAGTGAACAAACTAATGCATGGCAACCTAAGGAAAAAGAGCTGATGGAGTTCAGGTAGCAAATCTATTCGATTTAAGTGAAGTGGAAAAGAACAAGTCGACCTCTTTGCTGAACTTATTATATAAATACAAACAGGTGGTTGCAAAGAATGATTTTGAAGTGGGATATTGCAATTTCACCTAGCATAAGATAGATACAGGCAATAGTCCACCACTTTATCGAGCTCAGTATCGCATTCCATATGCATAGCAAGAAATTATGGATAAATTGATACAGGACATGACTGAAAGTAGACTAGTTAATCCATCAACCTTCCCATTGTCATAACGCTCGGGACTGCTCTTGTCCGATTAACCTGCGAATAAAGAATAACATGATATCTAGAACTGATTATGGACTTTGATAATACTAGCATACGTATTTTACGGATTAATCTCGGGAGAAGTATTTTAGCTTCCTCCCTTTTATCTAAGAATATTGATAAATATGATTTAATTTTGGTACAAGAACCTTATTATAAAAAATTATTCCTTCTTGCTTACCCACCTCTTGTCCTGTGCTGCATGGATCTGATGTTTTTCCTTGGACAATTACTTTGATAGCTAATATTGATTTTTCTCTTATGCATCACACAAATTTCTCTAGTAAATACTAATCACTACTGAAGTTATGATTGATAAAGATAGATTTATAGTCATTAGTCTACTTCCCAGGTGATTATGATAATAATGTTTTTATAGACGAGCTACAAAGAATAGTGCATGCTTTTTGTGATACATGCGTTATAATTGCGGGTGACTTTAACGCCCACTTTCCGGCATGGGGCGGTGACGCTTTTGATTTGCATGGGGTATGCTGGAAGAGTTCTTTGCAGGTAATGATTTAATAAATAATAATTAATAATCCCTTATCTCCCCCGACTTTCATCTCTAGTAGAGGGGAAAGTTGGATTGATATTGCTGCTTGTAGTGCCAATTATCACCCTAAAATACAAGATTGTAGGATCCTAGATGAAGATAGTCTTACTGAACATGCCTATATCACCTTTAACTTGGTTAACATAAATAGTAGTTCAACATCCCCTTATCTTCCCCGCAACAAGTATGTTTGTAACCAGGCTAACTGGCCGGATATGAAAACTTTTCTTGATGATCATCTTATTGATCAATATTCGGAAGACCCTTCTATCGTGAGAGGGCAAATTGATAAAAATATTGAGACTATCATTAATGCATGTGAGCTGTATATACCAAAGAGTAGATAAGAAAAGTGTGCCTTGGTGGACCCCGAGTTAAGTGTGTTGCGTCGTACAACTAGAAACTTAAGAAGAAAAGAAGAACTTACCAGCGTTGCAGAGATGACAATGAAAGAATTTTGCATAAGGAGGCTTATCTACAAAGCCAAAGGCAATATAAATATGTCATGACTAAAATTCAGAGTTGGCGCAACCTTTGATCAAGAACTTCTGCTAATTCTTGGTGTTACGTTACAAAGATGTGTAGTAACAAACTTCGTAAAACACAAATTCTTACTACTAATACACAGTATACTCACCTTAAAACCCTTATTGAGTCTCTGATGTCACAACTTCTTACATATTGCCCTAATGATGATCCTGCTACTGATAATGAATGGCAGCAACAAATACGTAGTCAATGTAATAACTTGATTGACACTGAAAATATTACATCTTTTACTTTTGATGAGGTTAATCGTGCTTTTAGAACTATGGGCCGGCGTAAGGCTCCTGGTTTTGATAATATTACTGCTGAAATTGCTTTAGGATTATGGAATATTATTCTTACTTTTCTTCATAAAATGTATAACACCTGTTTAGAATATTCTATCTTTCCTCATACATGGAAAGTTGCGTCTGTTGTACCTGTTTCAAAACCAGGGTCTGTAAACGATACTAGACCAATTTCTTTATCATCTACGTTAGGTAAATTTTTGGAGCGGTTAATTACTGGGAGAGTTGTGTGGTTTGTTGAACGCAACCAGAGCCTGAGTGTTTAGACATAGAAATGCGTTTTTCATATTCAAAACTGTCGTGAAAAAAAAAAACAAAACAAAAATTGTTAGAAAAATAACATTGTCACGAATGGAACAGGAATGAATTTGTGAAAGACTGAGTAGTTTATATAATGAAATTTAACATTAAGAACATGTTTTACCCAAAACATTAAAAAATTTTTCTCCAAAATCACATCTGTCAAATTTAAAATGACACACAGAAAACAATGATGGGAAATGATGAACGACAATCAGAACGAAACTAAAATGGTTCCTTGTCTTTCTCTGTCAACAATTTTTGTGAAGTAAATCTTACCGTTCCTTATCTATAACTACCAAGTCCGAGTTAATTATTTTTGAGTCCTTTGTTTTTTTCTAATCTTTTATTCCAGATTTTACCTATAGCACCACTCACTCTCGTGATTCGATTTACATCTTGTGTCACAACATGCAACCTAAACTCCCAGAATTCTCATTGAAGTCAGTTCTAGGTAAGACATAAAACAGAATTGCTGAAAAAACAGGGTACTTGAAGCCTACTCTGTACGTGGAAATAATTCGACATAGAAAAATTAGAAGTATTATCCGTTTCAACTCGTAAAGCTTGTTCGATTATATCTAAAACTTATTATTATGCTTAAATAAATTTGGCATGAATAATGTTACATTTCTTCATTACACTTCTTTTTAAAAACTGTTACATGAATAAACTCACATTCATCATGAAAAATAGCATACCATTTGACTAGCCAATAATCACTGGTATTTGTAACGGATTGTGCTACAACTAGCATTAGTAATAACAATATCCTGAAGAGAAAACTTGATCCAGCATTCAAATATTCTTTATAGACTGAAATTCCTATTGTTCCAACTTCTACATCGTCAGGTGGTATTTTTTTATTTTCATTTTCCTACAAAATGTATTTTGTAAATTATATAAAATATTCATTGAATTAGACTTAAATATATTAGAAAGTATTTCAATATAAATTTTCGAAAAAAGTACAAGGTACCATTTTCTTCATAAAACTGAAAATTGGATTTGTACACAAAAAAAAACCTACTCAGTATTCTCTTCAATATTTGTAGTTATATAATAATAATATAAAAAAAAAATAAAACCGAAAAACAATAAAAAATATTTATCATTATACAGTATAATTAGTGACAATCGAAGAAAATAAATAAGTTACAGTATAAACATTTTTCTGTAGAAGTACAGAACTTCTTGTATCAAATCACCTTGTCAAATCACTCCTTACGTGGAAATGAATTCCCGGTAATGGCAAACAGCCTGTATATTGCAACGTGATATTTACTTATATTTTTCAATAACTTTCCAAATAATTCCTGTACGTATTAATGAATCAGTTTATAATTTGATTGTAATAGTATTCCTAAAATCAAATAATTGTCTTTAAAAATTAAGACATAGTCATTTCCAAAAATTCTTGGGTGATCATCATATTTCTTTTAAATGTTCCTTAGTAAAAACTTTACACGATCCGATCTTCCTTTTCAGGCTACGTGGCCGTCCTGGGAAAAGTTCCTTAAAACATAGAAACAACCAATTAAAAAGTAATAATTTTTTTAAAATTGGATTTGATGATCTTACTACGCCTTGAAGGATGAAAAAAGCAAGACGTCGTAAGATCATCAAATCCAATTTTAAAAAAAATTATTACTTTTTAATTGGTTGTTTCTATGTTTTAAGGGACTTTTTCCAGGACGGCCACGTAGCCTGAAAAGGAACGTCGGGTCGTGTGAAGTTTTTACTAAAGAACATTTAAAAGAAATATGATGATTACCCAAGAATTTTTGAAAACGACTACGTCTTAATTTTTAAAGAAAATTTTATCATCCAGCGAAAATTTAAAACTAAAAATCAAATAATTGTTTGTTTTAATAGGAAATATAGAGAGAATTACGTACATAAGTTTATAAATGGAAACTGCCATATCTCATTTTATCTAAACTAAAATAATTTACTCAGATAACTATTTAATACATAACAAATTCTTACCAGGTTACTGTTGTTACTATCAATATTTTCAGTTTCATAAGACATATCAGTTTGAGTACTTTCAAATATTTTATCATCGTTCAAAAGACTAGTTTCTAATTCCATCCTATTTTCATTATCAGACGAAATTCCTGTAAGCATTTCTAAATTTTCTATTCTATTGTAATTGCCAACGATTTCAAATTTTTCCTATAATAAATTTATTCAGTTTCACAAGACATATCAGTTTGAGTACTTTCAAATATTTTATCATCGTTCAAAAGACCAGTTTCTAATTTCATCCTATCTTCAGCGATTTCAGACGAAATTCCTGTAAGCATTTCTAAATTTTCTATTCTATTGTAATTGCCAACGATTTCAAATTTTTCCTATAATAAATTTATAATATATATAATTGTATATTTATATAATAAATATAATTGTAAATTTAAGACTTTTATTAATATATGTATATATATAATCGAGACGAGTTAATAATAATAATAATAATAATATGCACTGAAAAAATTAGCAAGTACACAGAACTTGCCCAGGAAATAAGGCATCTGTGGAGGACGGATAGGGTTCATATTGTACCTGTTGTTCTCTCCTGTACAGGTATGATACCACACACACTTTACAAAAGCCTGAGAACATTACAATTGAATAGAATACATACATTATACTACCGAAGGCCATTATATTGAATACATGCCCTATTGTTAGTCAATTCCTGAATACAGACACACACTGACACACTAATTTAATTTTAGTTTTGTTTCGGTTGCTATGCCTTGATTCTGGTCCAGCATAGTACTTAATCCTGTCCCTCCCGAGAGAGAGAGGGACAAGATTAAGGCTTCAATAATGTAATTGTTAAGAAAAAGCGACGTGCAAGACGCAGATGTAGTTTTTTCGTTTCGCGGGAAATCGGACATATTTTTAGACTCACCTAAAAATTGTCTAATTAGTCTGGAAAAAGAAGGACTGAATTCTTGCATTCTGTAAAAACGGGTAAGGTTGACTATAACGTAATAATCTTAATCTTCGCTATTGTTACTTTTGCCCGAGCAACTAGCTGCTAGTAAATACAGTCGACCCCCCTATAATTACGGTCCCTATAATTACGATTCCTATAAAACTACGAAAAAATATACGTATTTTGGAAATGTTGAGTCGGATTAGTCTAGATTCGATTAATTTTATGGAAGAAACCCTTTCAATCAGCCGTAGTCCGTAAACTTGACACGTGTCGCGCTGTGATTGGAAGGACTCGTAAGAAATCGGATTTTTAAAGAATGGAACGTATCTATGATCTTAAGGGGGTTCGACTGGTATATAAACATATGTGCAAAGGTAAACTAATATATATTATGTCTCGAATAATTAATCGATGCTAGATATTTTAACAAATTTATCAGTAATAGACATTGAATTACAGGTATATTAATTTAAGAGGTGCATTGGTTGACTCGTGATGCAATCCCTATTTTCCATTTACTGCTGTATACAATATATAATGCAAATATGGCAAACAGATCTGAAACTCAACAGTGTGTGAATAGATATAAATAAATGAAAAATACTAGTTTCCTTTTTTCCAACACCCGGAATGGAGGAATTTTGCATTTTTTCATCATATATCTGACTCTGGAATAAAAACTTTGTACCAAATACAGTCTTACCAAGAATAATTTTTTCTTGAGAAAAAGTTTATATATTGCCATACATCCCAATGTATTGTATATGTTTAGTTATAGTCTATTTAAACAACACAGTTAACTTCATAATTGTTTTTTGATTCTAAACTTTATAACGTTAAATTGATGCGTTTTAAAATAGAACATAATGTCATTTTTATTCACAAAGTAATTGGAAAGAAAACTAGTAAAGAAAGAGTATCGTTACCTTATTTAACACTAAAATTTTACTTGCAGAATTTAAAAATTGTACTTGATGCGTAACTAAAATACAAATCTTGTCATTCAGATATTCCATTATACATCTGAAATGAATAAAAAAGCGAAAATGTATTCAAATATATCATAGATAATACTTAAATACTTACTTTTCGAAGATATGTTTAGCCACTGGAACATCAACAGCACTTAGTGGATCATCAAGGAGGAATATATCGGCATCCAGATATAATGCTCTACGAAACATAAAAATTACATCACGGTAAACTAAACTTATTACAAAAGACAAGAAATATATACATAGTTTTTCATTGTCGTTAAGCTAATTATTGACCTAAGAAAAACAAACAAGTAGAGTAAGAGTTACTTTACCTTGCTAGATTAATTCTTGCTTTTTGCCCACCGCTCATTATCACTCCTCTTTCTCCCACGGTAGTTAGATCTCCTTTAGGAAATAAACTTAGATCCTAAAATTGGTAAATGTAAACTGCAATGTAATTATGTTCAATATAATAGGCACTGAGAAGTAGAACTCTTTTACACTAAATATAACTTCAATACATATTCAAGTACATTTTAGAAAATTAATTTATAAGTATCATTAAATGTAACCATTTTATTAAGGTAAAAATCTAGTTTGAATATGTACTCGGCTAGTGGACACGATAATACTTTTTCCAACTGTTCACTGTAGAATCATATCAAAAAAGATTTGCATTTTGTTGTACATTACATGTTAAGTTATTAAATGTTCGATATAAAATATATATATTTTATCACATATAATGAGGACATAACTTGAAATTTATAAATTTTATGTTGCCGAAATTATAGGTTTATTTATTATCATAATAAATATTTTACTTTTGCTTTTGACGCTTTCTTCTCTGACTGCCTGATTCAATTTTTTGATCAGATCCTGCATCGTTCAGTCAGGCTTACAAAAAGACAGGTGTAAAGAAGTGATGCACGACACTCTGAAAACAAGCCTTTTGTCTGAGATTCAAAGATTTCAGATCTAAACTCACATTATTGTCAACGAGAGCACGAACTGAATCCTTTATACCAGAAAATGTAGCAAGCACGATTTAAGAATAAAAAAGTTAAGTGTGATTTTGTGCTTTATTAGCAGTATCAAATCATTTACTATCCAACCATATACACATTTTAGAAATCACTGAAAATGGTGTCTAAAACTGATTAAATTTTGATTAATTTTTTAAATGTATTCATTCATTATATTTAAATTGAAGTATAATATCGAAGTGTTAACAAAATTTGTTTTTTTTTTCAACGATCGATTCTGCATTCAAATGATAAAAACAAGCATAACCGAAATCAGTCGCCAGAAATACAGAACATCTGGGTCACTCAAACTAAATTTATTAATCAGAATTTCATAAATAATTAATTATAATGAGCTAACAAACATAATATACATTTGGGTTTAAAATAAACAGCAAGTATTGCCAACGAAGCTATGTCAGAATATACTAGCAGAATGTTTGACAATCATTACCAACAAATAACCGATTCGATCTCGTACATTTTTAAAATATTATACCGTCTTGTTTGTCTTCCAGTTACTTTTTTGTTCTTCCAGTTACTTTTCATTTTGTAGTGTCCTATACATTTCAGTGTTACTTGGGTAAACTACTAATGTATTATTGAGATATTCTCAGACAATTGTTTAGAAAATGAAACTGTAAAACCATCCTTTAACAAGTTTCAAGATACAGTACGACGATATCTAACTGAACGATAACACTTAATATAAATAATGACAGTTACAAGAACAAACTATAATATTGTAACATATTATATTATAATATATTATATATGATATATNCAAGTCTTGCCAACGAAGCTATGTCAGAATATACTAGCAGAATGTTTGCCAATCATTACCAACATACAACCGATCTCGTACATTTTTAAACTATTATACCGTCTTTTTAGTCAAAAATTGTTCAGTTACTTTTATTTTTTAGTGTCCTTTACATTCCACTGTTACTTTACTAAACTACTGATGTATTACTGAGATATTCTCAGACAATTGTTTAAAAAATGAAACTGTAAAATTGTCGTTTAACAAGTTTCAAGATACAGTACGACGATGTCTAACTGAACGATAACAAAAATACACCAACAGTGTTATTTGTATACTCGGAATAAATAATTGTTTGCCATATTTGAAAGCATTATTTGTTGTTTATTTCTGTTTGTAACTTAGTGTAGTGCGTAAAGTCGAACGAGTTAAACGCGTTAGTAACGAATCGTTCTAAAACTAATAATAAATAAAAAATAGTGCATTACCTTTTCTAGAGCAGTTATATACAAAACTTTTTTATATCTCTTCTCTTCGTATTCTTCTCCGAACAAGATATTTTCTCTGATTGATCCGTTAAATACCCAAGCTTCTTGAGAAGCGTAAGCAATTTTTCCTTTCGCTATCACTTTACCGGAAGTAACAGGAATTTCTCCCAAAATGGACAATAAGAAAGACGTCTAATCAAATTAATAAAACGTTTTGTTATTTGGTATGTTTTCGCGATATTAAATTTAAAATTTAAACAATGAAACGTGTTGAACAACTTCACTATATGCAATGGAAATAATTCGAATGTTCGCTATTAGATTAAAATAACAGTTTCAGAACAAAGAATAAAGTAATGGCAAATTATTGGGTTATTAATTTCGCATAAGAGTCATATGCAGATAAAATAAGTTACATGAATACATTTTACTAAATGTAATTATAAATATGCTTAGATCCAGTTGTAGGTAAAATTGACTTGTTAAAAGTCATTTTCAGTTAACTAAGAAATGGATTAAAAGTTAGATTCTATAACAGATTATTCACACAATAACAGTACAAATTATTCTCTAACTATTTTTTCTCTTTTTCTATATCATGTAACTCATTTCCGCTGTAAATATTCAACATCATCAAATTATTTAAACGTGACAATTAAGTATAATAATTTAAAAATGAATTTTATTGCAATTACATAAATGGATAACTTTTATATTTTTGTTAATTATTCTAAATAAGCTTTATATCAAAAGGATATATAAAATTTAAAATACGAGATATTCACCTTTCCTGATCCTACAGGGCCTATAACAGTTAATAATTCTCCAGGTTGTACGTTTATAGATATATCTTTTAATGTTGGGTAGGCTTCCTTTTAAAAATTCAAAGCGTACAGTAACTAAATTGTATGTAAATAATCTTATACGTTTGAAATTAGAAACAATATACCATAAATTAGATAATAATAACGTAAATATATGATTTAATAAAAAAGGTGATAATAATTTATAAATCCTAAAATTAGTGTTGGGTTATTAATATATATTAAAGGTACACTATGCCAGGACAATTGTTTGTATACGAGAAGTTTTGTAATCTGTCCTATCTGTAAAATATAGTCGATAATCCAGCATTGTCCGATAAAAAATACATTGTCTTTTCTCGTATTATCCCTCAGTTCATGCCTTGAATCCGTGAGATCCCAATACAACATTTTTTAACATTGGTTTTTTCAAAATTTTTGAAAAATCTTAAATCATTCGTTTATTTTTAATTTTTAAGTCACAAAAATTTAGTAGATATGTTTGAAATGCGTGTCTAGTCTATAAGCTAAAAACATCTGGATTCCCCAGACGTCATCTTCTTCTTTAGGTTTCTTTACATCAGTAAAATTACATAAGCTAGGATCTTGTGAGCTTTGCATGTAATTAGCATTATTCGACACATTGCCAATTTAAAATAAATAGACAAAAAATGCCACATTTATATTCTGTGTTTTTCCTTTATACTTGGAACACCTTTAATTCAACTCAAATTGTGAGAATCCAACTGTAACTCACTTTAATTCAACCTTAACGACCCAATTTTAATCGACAACGACGTCATACATGCTCACCAATTGCTATTTTCAGCTACCTGAGAAAATCTACACTTACACGTTCCCGACGATGTAAACGACGCACTGCCGCGATCTTTTGACCTTTAGGTCGAACGAGAACAAATGGATATCGAAATCTACGGCCGAAATAAGGAGTCCTCGAGAAATGCCATCGTCCCGAATTTTTTCCCAATAAGTAACGGTATCACTGCTGAACTGGATCTCTGCCCTGGACATTGCATAATTTTGCGCCGAAACCTTGGATAACCTTCTCAACAAGAAAAAGAACGTGGACATTCGTGAACCTACATGGACATTCGCTTATCCACGTATTTAGCAACCCGCGAACCACTGAAACTCTCTCTCTCTCTCTCTCTCTCTCTCTCTCTGAATATTGCGGAAATTTGATTAAGTTCACCCAAATTTACTTATTTTAATCCCAATCGAAATACTCTCATATTGTAATGTAATGTTTTATATCTTTAGAAATAAACGTTGTTTCGTTGACCTAGTCTTTCCGTGAGTCACTTCTAGTGTGCTGTCTCTCACCACATTCCAAATCCGTTCGCTTACATACGCAATCGTTTCCTCGAGAAAACGGTTTCTGTGTCTGTCCGTAAATAAACAGTAGTGTCAGTCCTGACGAAATTTGTCATTGCAATCTTCACTGATGCGATGTCGACCCTTCGGTCCTATGGTGCCGAAGTATAGGAGGGCCTTTCGGCATTGTCACAAAATTATCTAGTGTGCTTATTTTAAACAACGCGATTTTTTCATCTCTGGTTGTTATGTTGCATTCTTTTGGCAAAGAGACATCAAAAACAAATGTAATCGTACAATGCTCTCTGTTACTGATTTACACTGTTACTTTAAACGATAACCTTTGCATATGACTTCAAGAGTAAGGAGTTTTCTATATAGGCAGCTGCAGTGCCGGTTTCGTTGGCATTAAATTCTCTCTATTCTATATAATAAACAATGTTGTAGTAATGAAGCCAGTAAAAACCAGTAAGACACTCATAATTTTAATGTTACGGCAAAGTTCCTCATAGAATGGACATATGAAACATAAAACTTTTCGAAGAACAGATAGTTTGTGCAGTTTTTGATTTCTCGCGAAATTACAGCTTTTTTAATAGTAGGAATTCAAATGCAATTTTATGAATAATTTTATATAGTGTGCTATTTAATTATTATATCTGTGTGTTTCTGTTAACTGCTATACATCTGATGTAACTTGACTGATTTTTAAAAACAATTTTAAAAAATTACTCAAGCGATGACCAGTTATTCAACATAGGAATATTTAATAACTGCTAATACATCTACTGTAAAATCAGTATAATTGTATAAACTAACACAGCTACGGCATTCATTTCAAAACTTATACTAATTGAAATTATATTAATTGCGTCTTACTTTTTTCCATGTAGCTGTGACATTATTCATCCGTATTCCATATTCGGTTAAAATTTTGCTATCCTCTACAGCTTTGAGAGTCTCGTCATCTTTTTCTTGAAGAAGAAGGAAATCCTAAATCAAAATTCGAAAAATGTTACAAGAAGTATTACAACTATGTCCCCGTGATTTAATAAATTTAGTAACAATGATAGTGTTAGACATCAGGATGCAGTTATCCATTTCATTTTATTTTCCAAGTCATAATGAGCGTCCTACGACTAATTGAATTTAAAACTTATTCTAATGGCAAATGAAAATTTATATACTAGTTTATATTGCATTAGTCTATATTATTTCAGAAGCAGTAATACATTAGTTCAGTCACGCAGGCGCTAATCTGCCCAAGAAAAGATGATCAGCTGGAAAAGTTAGATGAAATGTCTGTTTACCAGTCCATGATATTGTATCACTAAATAAAATACATAAACTGTTGCTATTCGGAGAAATAGATGTTTATTATCAATCGTCGTTAAACTTTAAAGTATCACGAATTTATATGACATCTCACAAAAGCCAAAGTAGTAGTAGTTAAATTGTCACATTCCTATCAAACACTGCAAATATATCATACGAGTGTTATGAGTTTTCATATGTATATAAGTTTAGTAACGAAAATTTCTTCTCATCATCTGCCTTATTTTGACCACAACATCAGACCCACGTTTATTTGTAAATATTTATAACTCGAAACAATAAAAATATTTATAATCACAACATACTTCAATGCCAAAAACCTTGTTTATGATAGGGTAAAATTTCTAAAAACTAGCCAATATCAGTAAGTAATTCAGATGCGTACCTAAACTTTTAACATAGATAACTTGCTCGTGATAGATCGTATAATGAAGTGGTTCGTTCAAACTTAAAAACTTTATAATGTCAGTAAAATTTAAAACTTACGATGTTTCACAAAAGTTACAAATTACGATGTTTAAAATGTTTACAACGTAAGTTTCCACACACACACAAAATAAAATAAAGTTCAAATAGTCCACTAATACTGAACAGGTTCGTCGAAAAGATTACTTACAGAGTAATCCTGAGTTGTAGCTAGATGTAAGCACCTTTTGGCGTTGGTCGAAGAAACAGCCAGACGAATGTAACCTTCCTCGAGCTTAACGATAATAAACTTAACCTAACCAAGTTTCTTTGACCAACGTCCTAAGCCAAGCTTAAACCAAACTTAACTTTACTGCCTTAACTTTAACCTTTTATATGGATTGACGGTAGGAATGTTTTCACCAATCAGTTCTTCGTAGCTCTGTCAGAGGTCCTCTGGTGGTCCAATGATCGGCGCCCAATCAGCGATTATGGATTCAAAACCACTGCTCGTTTTTTCCAACCAACTTCTGCAGCGTCGACTAGTTTGAAATAAAAAAAAAACAAAAAAGGTGGAAATCGTGCTTCTAGACGATTCTAATCTCAACACGTCCATGGCCAAGGATCAAACTGAACTCATTTGAGCCTGTTTGATTCCCTGCACAACACCGTGACAATCTTACATATCCAAGCTGTCTGACCCGGTCAGACTAACCCTTCTACCGGAACATCCAAAAAGTTACTCATTAATGCACAGAGATGCTTACATAACCTGATAGCACTCAATCCCTTTGTTGCCCACACGCATTTTAGAGTAGTCTTATGCGTATTTTGATGTGTTTCCTCTGGCCCCTAGACAAGGGAGTATCTGTGTTCCAGGCAGAACTGGTGGTCCTGGCAGGGGCACCCCAGTGGATCCTATTACATCCAGGTCTAGAGTCTGTCCCATCTACTCTGACAGCCAGTCGTCACTCCAGGCCTTGAGTAACAGGTACCATCACAATCTAATGGTACAGGAGATCAGAGGGAGGGTACTGGGGGGCGAAGTATTCGTGCTTCGTTGCCCTGAGGTGCCCTGAGGTGGATTCTTCGACACGTTGCCCTGAGGTGGATCTGAGGCAACACCGGTATCACGAGCAAAGAGTGTGCCAATCAGCTGGCAAAGGCAGGAGCCAGTGGCCCATTTGTAACGAGGATGGAGGAACCTTCGACAACATACATACATACATTTTTAAGTTTGACTCGAAAAATACATAAAAAGTACTCTACTGCAAAAATCAATGAAAACTGGCAAGAGTCATTGAGAAATCAATGATCGGTACAGTGCAGTAGGTAGATCAACCTAGGCCTTCATGCCTGAAGTTGGCCGAACTCCAGTGAGTTGTGATTGGAGACTGACACAGATATTGACTAAACACGGGAAGTTTTCCTACCTCAAGTCCAAGGTTTGAAAGGAGATAGTAGCTGCTCCTGTGAATGTCCTCGCGGTGACTTCAGACACTATGTACTTGACTGTCCTCTTACTGAGGACTTCCACCTAGGGGCTGACCAAGTCAATTAGAGAAAGCCCCATAAACAAGTATTTCAAATGCTAACAGCTAGTAAAAGAAACCAAAATAAATAAAGGAATTTATGGAAAAAGTGATAGATCTTTTCGATCTATAAGCTAAGTGGACTCACTTAGATGGGTCCCTCCACTTGTAGAGAAGGGGACCCTTCTGCCCGTTACATATATGAGCTGAAATAAAAAGAAAATAAATATTAATAAGTGCAGAACAGGCTGCACAATCGAAAGTTATGCCAGGTGAGAGAGTTGGGCCTGAGAGCAAGGATGGAGCTCGAAAGTAGCTATCTCAGGTCTGACTTTAAAAGTCTAAGACACCCAAGAGGTTTAAGGACAGGTCTATAATTAAGGCCTAGTCCCTTGAATCCTGTGGTGCCATTTGGAGGAGCAGGGCAGAGTTTGCTTTATGAGGTCCATGGACTGACTTTGTCCACCGTCCCCTAACCTTATTTGGTAGTCACTCTCATGCTTTCTTGTTTCCACTATGGCAGGTCCTTTTCACTGTTTGTCAAATTTGTTACCTGGGTACCTTTTTCTGACCAAGACCGTATTTCTGATGCTAAATTCCATGAGTCGCGTAAGCATCGTAATTGGAATCATATTAAGAATGTGAGCTGGCACCCTTACTTGGCACCTTGGCCAACTTTGGCAGTATTTCCAGGTATCCGTCTCTGTTCCCAGTCAATAGAAAATCTTGCAAATGCGACCCACCATTTTCTGACTGCTTAAATGTCCTCCCCATGGAGTTTTATAGGCTAGCCATAAAACCTGTACCCTCCATTCTTGAGTTACTATAACCTGTTTAATGGGTCTGCAAAACCAACTCTCTATTTTGTGGCATATTCTGTATTTGACGATCAGCCAGACCTTCTTGTGCCTGGCGTCCTCTCATGATCAGGAGAGCAACTCGTCTTGGACTTGGGCATCCTGTGGACCTGTTCAATTTTCCCCACTGTCGCTGTTTCTGCCATCTGTTGCCTCCAAGAGTGGTTTTAGTACCTTCCACTGAGAGAGACCACTTCCATCTACATTTAGATTTCTTACATGTCTTTCCCTTTCCCTTGGATCTCCCTCTTCTGGTCTGACACCATTCGGTAATTCTCCCCTGATAATGGGGCATCTGATTTAACTTGTTCATTACGGCATACATCACCAGCCCCAGCCCCTGCGATCTTATGAGGCCTTCCTCCCCTAACGCTATCACGATCATTACCACATTAATCCGGTGACTGAAGGTTCAACCCGTTTGATTTCTCCCTTCCTTTTTGTCACCTAGGTAGGGACCAATGATTCTTTTATGACCAAAATCTGTGCTCCAGAGTCGACTATTGCCGAAAGTCGATTCCCGCCGCCTACTAGTTTAATTGTATTCAGCAACTCCACATCTTCAGGTTGGTAGTATGCAGTTAATCTAGCTAGCAAGTGGTTCTCTATTTCGGGTGTCTTGTTAACTAAGGCCGAATCTCCCATGTCACATTCCTTGGAATGCGCCTTTTGATCGTTGTGAACCGCATCCGCTCGTTTTGCCATGACCTCACTAACTCCTCTGATTCCCCTGACAACCTGTGAATTCCCTTTTTTCTTTATTATCAGCATGGGGACTTTTACTAACCTGATAATAGAGATTTCTGTCCCTAATTCGCCTCTTTTCTCCACACTTTACCTCGAACCTATCTTTCGCTTCCCAGTGGCCTTGAGAGTTCGAATGCCTTTGCCTCTGCCATCAGGCGGTCCACTTCCTCGGGTCACACGTGTTTGACCTAGCCACCTACCTGCCAATTAGGACAATCTCTTTTTCGCTGGTCTGTTTTCCTTGGCCTGTCAATTCCAGCATGTGGCTTGTTCCCTAACGAGTTTATCCTATCTATGAAGGTTACTACTGGGTAATACCTAACTATCGTCTAACTCAGTTTCTTACTAATCACGGCAAGTTCTCTAGTTACCAACAACACCACATCTCTTTGTGCTATCTGCGACAGGACTGACAGCTCTGACCATTATCTCTTTGACTGCATCTCCATGGAAGTGGAGCGTCTTACCATTGAATTGATCGCTGGGAGCAAAAACATTCACTGGCGCTGCCAGCACTACGAACTATTAAAAAACAAAGAACTATTTGAAGCATTTTGTAAACTGGTGAAAATGCATGAAGTTATTGCTTCTCTTGCCATTAGGGAATAGTTTGTCATCATCTGCCCTGGACTTTAGTCTGCAAATTTATGTTGCCTCGCTACGTTTGTATACATATTGTAAATACTTCTGTACATTTTTTATCTTGTAATACACCTCACCTCACTTTTCTTTTGGTTTTGCTAATTTCTAGCAATTTTTGCTGTTTTTACTGTCCTCCTCTTTACCATTCACATTGTATTTACTTATTGTTCCCATTCTATTATTATGTATATTCATTGTATTTCTAATATTGTTAACCTCACTACTGTTATTCTTATTTTTATTATTACCACCTATAAAAACTTCTTTCAATATCACCGCTATAAAACTATACCTCTTATTCTTGTACCTACTACCTCGGCTATGCCTCGTGGAACCGAGTATGTATTTTTTTATGCATTCAATAAAGATTGATTAATTGATTGATTATCTATGAAGGACTGGTTGCTTTTGCCTTCTCGCGTCTGCCGTTCCTTCTTCCTTGGATCGTCTAAATTTTCTCTAACCACCCAACCTGTCAAGCTCCGCACCTCAAAGAGCCGCCTTTCCTGCTCTAATAAAAACTTTGCATCCCTCACCTCAGCTTCGATCTCCGCTAGTTCAACTCGAAATCTTGACTTTTTCGCATTCTAGCGAGTCGTTTTGAGACGTGTTTACCCTGCATCTACATGTTCGATCACCTGAGTTAAAAATAGTACTGAGTATGGATACTGACAATGGATACCGTATACGTTTTCTGCAAATTATCTTAGGAAGAGGGATTTCCGCAACTTCACTTCTTGTTTCTAACTGTAATAAATACGATATACTTAATCTGTACTGAAGTTATTTCTAATAATATTACCTACATTATTATCAATGTTTATTGTCCTAAAGACATGGGAAAGGATAATATGATCCATATAATCCTAAATATATTAAATAGCTTTCAGAATGTCAGGTTCATAATTGCTGGTGACATAAATGCCCATTTACCTTTATGGGGAGGTGAACAACAAAGTCGCCCCGGCGAACTATTTGAAGAATTCCTTGCCTCTAATAGTTTACATCTACTGAATAAGCCTTTATCACCACCTATCACCACAACCTTCATCACCTCATATACTTCCAGGCAAGGGGATACCTGGATTGATATTATAGTATGCAATCCTGAGAGTATTGCTAAAATGGATAACTGGAGAGTTTTATGTAAAATAGCCTTAGTGGCCATTTTTCAAATAAAATTACAATATGCCTGTATTTTAATTAGACGGTAAATAACTATCTTGCTCAAGACGACATAATTGCTAGATTAGTCCAAGGCCACTCCACTGCTTTGTAAAACCCGAATATTTCAGACAGCTCAGTTTGGAAACTCCAAAATGACTACAATGAAATCTCTGTCACTAAAATGTCCAGCTTCGTCCGTAACCAGCTACTCCCCCCATTGTGGGCCTGCAAAACTCATGGTGTGATATAACAAAAAAAAAATTAATCTTAGTGGCTATGGCCCAGAAAGCAAAAGATTAGATTAATAAAATTTGTAAATAATTATTAAATATTATTTATAAAGTTTTAAATATAATATTAATATTTTCGAATAATTTTTAAAGTAAAATTGTAGATATAACTTAAACACTGAAAACAACAATTTGTTAAACTGTTCATTACCTGAAGTCTCTTCAACGAAACCAAAACTTCTGCAGCGCAATCTGCTGCACGTGAAAATAGAAAAATAGTGCTACCGAAAATATGTGCCGAAACAGCCATAGTGATATATATAATTTGAGCATTCAGTTGTCCTCCATTTAAGAAAAATGCAAGATATGTGAGGGAAGTAAATAATCTACATATAGGATATCCCAATATATGCGCTATTCCTCTTGCATATAAAAACATTCGAACTTTTTTCATTTCTTTCCTGCAAATAT